ACTGCCAACTAACATCCTAGGGATAAATAGAACAGGATCCCTGTCAGAGTGGGATATTTGGGTTTTGCATCTGATTGTATGTATTTATTTACTTTAGAAATGTGCACCTAGTCTATGACTGTCTAAGCATTTTACATTCAGGCGGGTAGCCGTGTTGGTCTGAAGCAGCAGAAAAAGGTTTGAGTGCAGTGGCACCTTTAAGACCAACAAAGTTTTATTCAAGGTATAAAGAAGTGTGCTTGCACACAAAAGCTTATACCTTGAATAAAACTTTGTTGGTCTTAAAGGTGCCATTGGACTCAAACCTTGGCAAGCCTTTTACTGTCATTAAAAGAAAAACAGCACTGGTCAAATAAAGTTAGAATTAAGCAACAAAACAGCAACTTAATTTTTAAAAAACACATGGAAGTGGTAAAACCACCCAAAACCAGCATGAAGTGGCATACATTTTGATCCAGGCAAACTAGGAACAAGGGAATAAAACAAACAAAAACCTGGAACTGTCTCTGCAGATGCTGATGAGTGTGAAATGTTCGGCCTTGAAGTCTGTCGGAATGGACACTGTGTGAACACTGTGCCAGGCTATACGTGCTTTTGCCACACCGGTTATTTCTTTGACTCCAGCAAGCTTGAGTGTATTGGTGAGAAGGCTGTCTCTTGTTTCCTGATGCCCTTGCTGTGCCATCATTCCAGGGAGTGGTACTTTTATTAGAAAAAAACAATTGGAGGGAGGGTGAAGTACCGCTTGCAATCCCATGCATGCCTAGTGGGGGGGAGGGGAGGACAAAGGTCAGTCTGCCAGTGTAAGCTTTGTGCTGAACTCCTGTGGCTGCAGATCTAGATGAGTGTGAGAATGAAGACACCTGCGCAAATGGGAAATGTCTCAACACAGCCGGCTCCTATCACTGCTTCTGTAGCCTTCCCCTGGTGCTGGATGCCACCCGCAACCGCTGTATCAACGTGTCCAACAGTGCAGGTGAGGTCTGTTCTGTGTAGTGTATGAAGTGAACAGCTCTGCCAGAAGAACCCTGAAATTGTATGTTGTTTAAGGGTCCAGTCTAGCCCACTCGTAGAGACAGAAAGGAGCTGTTCCATACCAGACTGGACCAATGATTCATCCAGCCCTGTACTGATCATTTTCTCAAGCAGGAGATCTTTTTCATCTCAGGCAGAGTATTTTCCTAGCCACAATACCTAAACAAGTTCCATGTCACGATACCAAGGATCTGCACCCCCCCACACCCAAAACAAAGCAGTAGAGATGATAGACCAGCCATGAGGTACAGCACATTGTGCAGTGCTGAACTTGAGCTTAGGCTACAGTACAGGTCGTCACACTTCACTGTGCTTTCTTTTCAAATGTCTTTCGCTAATAGATGATGTGGATGAACATGATATTCACTTGGACATCTGCTGGCAACAAGTCTCCAACTACATTTGCAACGAGCCGCTGCTGGGGCAGCGAACCACATACACAGAATGCTGCTGCCGTTATGGGGAAGCCTGGAGCCAAGACTGTGCACTCTGCCCCCCAAGGTCCTCTGGTGAGAATGCACCAGCTGCATGGGATTAAGGGAAGCAAGGGCATGTGGCAACCATTAGGCTAGGCATGGCAAGTGCGCTGACTCTTGTAGTGATTTCCACTGGGTCAGTCTTCCCGTTCTCTCTGGCTGGCCCCTCATGGCTCCATTGATTGAGCTGCCAGCTCCAGGTTGGGAAATACCTGGATACTTTGGTGGTGGAGCCTGGGGAGTGCGGGGTTTGGGGAGTGGAGGGACCTCAGTGGGGTAGAAGGCCATGGAGTTCTCCTTCCAAAGTGGCCATTTTCTCCTGGTGAACTGCTCTTTGTTACCTGGAGATCAGTTGTGACCAATGCTCCCTCTAAGCTGTGGAGACTTGCGAGCTAAAATTCTATTTTGTGAGTGACTGGCATTACAGTTGTGAGCAAGCGATTTGGCTACTGCATCAGTTATTTTGCTCTGGAGCCATCCTTCCTGAACAAAGACAAAAATGTGTGAGCTAGAAGCTAAAAAACTGTGAGCTACCTCACACTAACTCAGCTTAGAGGGAACACTGGTTGTAATCGTGGTCGCTCTCCAAGTGCCACCTGGAGGTTGGCACCCCTATCCACTGAACAGCATTTCCAAGAACTGACAATGGGTTCCTTTCCATATCCATAATACAGCATTACAATTAATATTGGCTCAGACTGGACACCTCTACTATTATAACCTATGATGGGTGAACTTCTCTTGACTTGCTTTGATTTTCACTAGGATTTTTTTCTCTGTGTGGGAGTTTTCCTTGCAAGCCCTCTTTCCCAGCACCTTGAGTCTTTTCAAGAATTCATAAGAAGAGGACAAAGGGGAGGGGGAAGAATATGAGCACATCCCCATACTAGTATCCCTCCTCATCTTTCAAGCATAAAAAGTTACCTTTGGGAGGGGAGCCCTACTAGCAGTGGGGAGAAATCACTAGGGTCAGGACTCAGGAGAGGCCTTTCCAGGTCTCTGTTTAGTAAGAAATGATTTTTTGTGCAAGCTCAGGAGCATTATTTCCTGATGGAGATCATGGGATGTTTAGTTCCCTTTGCCTCCCAAATGTAATCAGAAAGCAAAGGAAGCGAAATATCCTGTGCTCTCTTTGCCTGTAACTTCTTGCTGAGGATCATGAGGATTACAGTTTCCTCTTCCTTGAAGGCAGAGAATGTATAGTTTCCTTTATCTTGAAGGGGGGGGTTGTTGGATGGAGGAGTGTCTAGTTTTGGGGAGAAGTGAACCCCATTGAAAATCACCCTAAATTTGAAGGGAGCTGGGACCAACCCACAACAGGATGAGGCTTGTCGAATTAGGGTTGTCAGCTCTGTCTTGGAAAATACCCAGAGATTTGGGAGCAGCGCTCAGGGAGAATGGAGTGTGGGGAGGATGCTCAGCAGGGATGTGATGCCATAGAGTCCACCTTCTGAAGCTGCCATTTCCTCCAGGAAAGCTGATAGGGTTGCCAGGTCCCCCTGGGGGGTGGGGAAACCCCTGCTCAAGAGGCCCATTCCCCACCAGCCTGGATTGGGCCGCCAGGGGAATCCCCACCCCCAAAGTCTGTGACGTGCGCAGCGTGAAGACGTCACCCAGATGCGACGTCATCACATCGGGCACGTTACCGGGGGATGCTCTGTCATTCAAGGGGAAACTCTATGGTTTCCCCTCGAATGATTGTGGCCCCGTGCCCAACATGATGACGTCACTTCCGGGTGGCGTCATCACGGTGCACTCACTTTTCGTGAGAGAGAGAAGACTCCCGGCCAGGGACAGGACTCCCCCCGCTATTGGGTAAGTTCAACTTGGCAACCCTAGGAGCTGATCTCTGTAGTCTGGAGATCAGTTGTAATTCTGGGACAATTCTAGGCCCCATGTTGGTGCTGGTTACCCTATATCAAATGTGTATTCCAATTCAATCCATCTATACTTATATTCACGGAGCCAGTCTTCATCAGAGGTGCATTGGGGACCCACTCTGCTTGGCCTCAGAGGTCTAATCTTCTACCATCTTTATACCATTGGACCCCCAACTGTGTTAGGAGAAAAGTGAGCCTAGCAATATTCTGCATAAGTCTCTCTGTCCCATAGCCATAGATAGACCTCTGTGTTTTGTTTTTTCTCTCTCACAAGATATCTCAGGAGAAAAGAGTCCAGTAGCACCTTAAAGACTAACAAAAAATTGTGGTAGGGTATGAGCTTTTGTGAGTCACTGCTCACTTCTTCAGATACAGGCTGTGAGAAGTGAGCAGTGGCTCTGATGACGTCACTTCCGGGTGGCGTCATCACGGTGCACACACTTTGCGCGAGAGAGAGAAGACTCCCGGGCAGGGACGGGACTCCCCCCACTATTAGGTAAGTTCAACTTGGTGACCCTAGAAGCTGATCTCTGTAGTCTGGAGATCAGTTGTAATTCTGGTACAATTCTAGGCCCCATGTTGATGTTGGTTACCCTATATCACATGTGTATTCCAATTCAATCCATCAATACTTATAATACCTTAATATTCACTGAGCCAGTCTTCATCAGAGGTGCACTGGGGACCCACTCTGCTTGGCCTCAGAGGTCTAATCTTCTACCATCTTTATACCATTGGACCCCCAACTGTGTTAGGAGAAAAGTGAGCCTAGCAATATTCTGCATAAGTCTCTCTGTCCCATAGCCATAGATAGACCTCTGTGTTTTGTTTTTTCTCTCTCACAAGATATCTCAGGAGAAAAGAGTCCAGTAGCACCTTAAAGACTAACAAAATTTGTGGTAGGGTACGAGCTTTTGTGAGTCACTGCTCACTTCTTCAGATACAGGCTGTGAGAAGTGAGCAGTGGCTCATGAAAGCTCATACCCTACCACAAATTTTGTTAGTCTTTAAGGTGCTACTGGACTCTTGTCTGCTGCTACAGACAGACTAGTGCGACTACATATCTTCAACTATCAAGATACCCCAGGGCCCTCCAATAATTAAAAAGTGAATAATTAGTCCTTGGAAACAATCCCCTTGAATCCCTGGTCTTCTGTGCATCGTGTGTGCTCTGAGTTGCATTTTTTCATGACACACTGTCTTATCAGTTTCTCTCCTCTGCCTGTGCTTCTAGAGGACTTTGCTCAGCTATGCAACGTTGCCAGAGGTGAGGCTGCACTCCAAGAGAGGCCTGGCTATGAATATGGACCAGGTCAGGAAGACCACCAATATGGACTCTATAGCCCAGATTTAGAGCCCTATTACAACCACTTGGGTCTTGAGTATGGCACCTCTGATGTCAGCCACGCCAACAGAGAATTGAGCAGTGAAGTTGAAGAGAGCCCATCCATACAAGCACCACAGCTTCGCCCTGTACAAACACAGCCTCGCTATATGCCCGGCCATATTGGTAAGTTAAGGGAGAGAGAAAGAAAGTGCGTCTATTTCAGCTTGTGACCAGGGTTGTGCTAATGACTACTTCCTCAGATCATTAATCTAGATTCCAGGCTATAGGCATTTTCCTCACCTCCATCTCTGAGGACCAATTTACATATTACAAAGGCCCTGTGAATGGCCATGCAGGGACTAAATCAGATGTAGAAATGGGGATTTTTACATCCCAAGCACACACAAAAGTGCCCTTTTCCCTAGAAGTGGTGGCTGCCTTCCCTTCCACACTGTTTTTACTTCCTTGAAGTGCCCCTCTGAAGCAGCTTTTCCCTAGAAGTGGTGGCTGCCTTCCCTTCTACGCTGTTTTTACTTCCTTGTCCCTCTGGAGCAGCTATTGGCTCCTACGAAATCACGTTGCTTATGGGGCTGCGCTCTGTATCTTGCAACAAGATGCTCAGTTCCATTTTGTTGGCGAAGTCTGGCAGATTATGCTTGAAGAGAACAAGACCAGATGATTCAATATATGCTTCATTGTTCTCAGCACACTGTATGATTCTTACAGAGTTATTACCAGATACTCTCTATAGCCCTGGTTGGCCAGACTAAGATGGAATCTATTGACCGCTGGGTTGATGTAGGCTTATCTCCTCCTGGCTCTGACAGAGCTTCACTCTGGGCCCTCTTAGCCTTCTCTCTTCCAAATCTAAGGCCTTGTACTTGTTTTTCCTAAAGCTGTGATTGGTCAATTTCCCAGTGGTCTGATTCTTACCTAATTTAGGTCAGCCGGATTTGTTTACTGCTTAAGTCATTCTTACTTTTCTGTATTCCACCCCTTATCAGTCCTTCGGTGCCATGTTACTTAAAAGATGTTGATGACACAAAGAGTACCTTTTGGTACACATTTAAGATAAAATAATGCAGCTCAACACATTCTTAATCAAGTTTTTATTTAAAAATGAAGGGGTGTTGTGTTCTGAGACAATCCATACCCCGTGTAATTTCAGGGACTTTACAAAAGTCATGTTTTTAAGACTTTTCATATCATTTACTTTCTTGTACCATTTTGGTCTCTATGTCATCTCACTTTTAATTTCAAGAGACTTTCTCTTGCAGCTTGAGAGTACAATTAGTCTGTCTTCCCAGTGGATCAAATGCTGGGTGCCTCTTCTTTTTCTTTTTCTGTCCTCTGTGTGTATCTACCTTTAATATCAAGAAATAATGCTTTACTTATTTAGGGAAGATGTAATGAAGAAGGCAGGAGAAAAATACAGAATGGTTAAATTTGCTAAATTTGCTTTGGGAAAATTGTCTACTGAGAATAAAGGACATTATTCTGGAAGGGGAAATGCATCAGAAATAATCTCCCTGTATACCATTCCTTATGAGCTGTATTTATCTAGTGCATTTCTACCCTGCTCTTACTCCAAGAAGCTTGAAGGTGGAAAGTGCCAGCCGATTTATGGCAACCCCATAAGAGTTTTCAAAGCAAGAGACGTTCAGAGGTGGTTTGCCATGGCCTGACTCCACATCACGACCCTGGTATTCCTCGGAGGTCCCTCATCCAAATGCTAGCCAGGGCTGACCTTGCTTAGCTTCTGAGATCTGACAAGACTGGGCTAGCCTGGGCTATCTAGATTAGGGCCAAGAAGCTTAAACTAGGATTCTTCCTCCTCCTTGTTATCATTACAACAACACTTAGACACAGGCAAGGCTGAGAGATAGAGGCCCAAGGTCACACAGCCAGATTCATGGCCATGTAGAGACTCAAATCTGGGTCTAGTCTGACAGTCAAACTATTACCCCATCCCTCCTTTTCTCTCCAGGGCAGTACAGCAGCTTTGAGGGGTTGCGAGCTGAAGAATGTGGGATTCTGAATGGTTGTGATAATGGACGCTGTGTGCGTGTGCAGGAGGGATACACCTGCGACTGTTTTGATGGCTTCCGGTTAGACTTGATACGCATGGCCTGTGTGGGTAAGTGGCTCCAAGGGGAAGAGGCCAGGCCTCCCGGAAATTGAGCCTATCGCGGAGGATATCGTTCATGGCCTATCGCTGAGGATATTTCAGCGGGTTCCAAGAGATCTTTTTTATAATTATTGGCTTGATCTCAGTGCTTTTGACTGTGCTCTGCAATGTCATATCCTTTAATTTCAGGGAGTGCAAATACAGAACTCTAGACCTTTTCCCGTCTTTACCTGCTGCTAAAAGAACTCATCCAAATAGAATTTGTTACGAGGTTGCCAACTTTTTTTCCTGGCAGGGCTCTTGTGATGTTAGCAGCTAGCAAATAGGCAGAATTCTCGGAGATGCAGTAATGGGGAAAATGTCATGTGTTAAATCTTTTCCTGTGAACTACCAATTAATGGAATGGCCCATGCCAGAGGGAAAAAATTGTCAACCTTGATAACTGGAGATGTATGTTGAAGTAGTTTCACATACACTGTGAATTACATAGCAAAACAGCAAGGAAAGCTCTTTTCAGACTGGTGCTTTTGCAGAAGACCCTTTTAGGTAAAGAACTCCATGCAAAGTCCAGTAACTACAGGGCAGAATAGCATTACTTCATTTTGGAAATATCTCTTCCTTCAGAAGAGTTCAATATAGTTCATCCCTTTTTTTAAAAAATGTAGAAACCCAGCTTTATAAACTACATGGTAAACAAATAGCTTTGCTACTGACTGAGAGGATTCCAGTGCCTTCACTGTGTGCAGAGCAAGAAGCAGCTAGGCCTGCAGTTGAGAATAAAAGGCCACCTTCCCTGAGCAGAGGGGCAGACTAAAGCTGGAGAGACAAAATCGAAGGCTGGAAGATGGAGAGAGAAACCCCTTAAAATGGCACTGCAGGCAGAGCTGAGGGCAAAAATGAAATGGCACACAATGGTTAAGAAGTCCAGTGCTTTTCAAACTGTTTGCCCTTCATACATTTTACAGTAGAAATAGATACAAGCAAAAAAGATAGCATGCTGGGGAGGGCGGGGTAAAAATACCTAAATAAATAAATAAATTAAATAAAAAAGTTTTTACCCTGCAATGTGCAAGGCAGCTGCATGTCTTTCTGTCACAGCGTGCAGAGCACAGAAATGGATAGAGCCAGAGCTGGCCGTGGCTCCCAGCCCTGCCTTTCCACATGGCAGCCTTGCTGAAAGACACATCAGTGCCTTGCCTTGCAACACATTACCGACACAAGTGAAACACAGAGCATGTGGGGGCAAGGGCAGAGAACTCATACTAGTGAGTCTGAAGCATGTTCTCTTTCTTCTCCCATCAGATGTTAATGAGTGTGAAGAGGCAAGTGCCACCATGCCCCTGTGCGAGGGCAGCATCTGCGAAAACACAGAGGGCTCTTACCGTTGCAACTGCTTGCCTGGATACATAGCTTTAGCCGAGCCCCATCGCTGTGTGCCAGAGACAGCTCAGACGAGTCCAGAGGCAGCGTGATTTCAGAAGGCAGTGACTGAACAGAGGCAACCCCTTCAGTCAGGCGCCACTAGGGGAGCTGGAGGCCCATCAATCTGGGCAAGAACTCCTGCAGCATCAGCTTTAAAGCCCGTCCATTGTTTCCCGAAGCACAAAAATGCAACATCTCTCACTGGGCTGAACTCACGAAGGCCAATGAGGAGCTCTAAAAGGTTCAAGCATCAGCCTTTCTGGCCTACTCAACACAAGCGTACTGCTTCAGCCACCATGCACTCAGGGTCCAATCCGCTCACCAGTTGCCATTTGACAGGTTGTGGTCTTTGCCAATCCCTATTTTTAAAACAAACCAGACATCCTTGCCCTCCGCTCACTTCCACTGTATGGGCTAATAGGGCACTCTTATTTCATCTCATTTGTCCCTCAGTTCTTTGTAGGATTTTGTCTCATCAGTCAGGCCTTATTCCCCACCTGCAATATTCTCCCCCTACCCCCAACCCATATTGTGGAAGACCCCTTTACCTTACACAGAACCACTACATTCCATATACCTTACCTCGCCTCCCTCAGAAGCAGTGTGGAAGTTGGTCGGTCAGTCAGTCACAGATGGTCAAGTAACATAAATGGAGGTCTCTTTCAACCTTTTGGATTGTGTATTTTTGCGGCAGCAACTGAAGAACACCCCCATTCCACAGATGTCACAGGATCCCTGTAATCCTGCCTCCTCAAGATAGCAATGCAAGAAACACCGCCTTCCGTACCTGAGCCTGGAACAAGCTGGCCAACTTCAGAGCATATGGATTCTATTTATAGTCAGGCAGCAGCTTGGACTCCAAAGGCCTTTTTGACTTAAGCCCTCTATATTCATCCCAGGGCATTTACCTGCTGCACTTTCTATGACTGCTGGATTATAAAAGTTTGGGAAGTGGGAAGGATTACCACTCTTTAGCTTCAGAAAGTGTTCTATGTGGTATTTTCTACTGGGGGGGATACAAGGTAACATGAAATAAATGGTTTTATATAGTGACTTATGGCTTACATGTTGGGGCTAATCATAAACATTCCTGCCTTGTGTTAACAAAATACTGGGATGGAAGGAAGCACCTATGAACCAGCCCAGGATTTGGAAATGGTATTTTGCAGTTGGCAGCTCTTGCAGCTTTGGCAGCATTGAATGGGAGCATTATCCCTCTAGACCACATGGTTTTCAGACCAAGCAGTGTCTGTACCACCCTCCCTCACCATCCTTTACATTTTCAGAAGCACGTGATGAGTCACAGGCGTACAGCTAAGTCATACATCATGAGTGTAAGTTCCACCACTTGATGTCATTGAGTGGAAAACAGGCTCCGTAAGCAGTTAAAGAAGGTTACACGGAGACAAATATCCTTTTATCTCCAAATGCACAATGATGAGACACAGCACCTTCCAGGCAGTAAACATTTCACCATCCACTAATAAAACAGACAGAACTTCATTTATAACAGTTTATTAAAAGAAAAGTTATAAAAAGGGGCTGGGATTGAGACAGCAGTTTTCCCAGCACAAGATAGTGCAAAGCATTGGTTAATGCAAGTTATCTCTGCATAGAAATAAAATGCCATTTTGGTCTGGCATCTATTTTCAGGAAACTCTTCCCTTCTTTGAAGCAACTTGCTGCAGAAGGTTATTTCTATTCAGTTTCCTTTTGGCTCCAGGTGAGAAAAGCAGATCCAAGGAAAGTCCAGGACATGGCAGAGCTGGGGGAGCGAGAGGCCTGCAGTATCTCATTATGAGAGGCACAGTAGGGTCGATCAACAGCAATAGTCATGATGTTTTCTGGCCCAGTTTCCTTATAGAAAAAGTCTTTTCTGGATGTGTGTTCCCTTTCAGTCACTTTTGTCAGTAGTTACATGAACCTTTGCCCTGAACTACAGTAAGACTTCCTCCAACTATCCCAACCGTCTTGAGTAGATTCATTTTGGCCTGGCCACTGGCCCCCTGCTTCATCTGGACATTGGGAAGACAGTAGTTGTGTAAATCAAAACAAGAAATGCAAAGCACTTGACTCTTCTGTCTGTATCCAAGTGCCTCTTCCCTTCCCCAATAAACTGCAGGGTTCCTTAACCGGTGATCTGGACAGGAATCCTCCAGCAGAACAACATCTGGTCCTGGTCATCAAGCAGTTCCCATCTGACAACTAATTTCAGCTGGGAAAAAATTAGTAAAATAAGTTTATCCTCAGGTTTACTGACATTAGAGCGATTTTGTGTGTGCATGGCGAGAGAGAGAGGAAGAATTGTCACACAGATTCAAAACTGTTCCCATCTATGCTGAAAAGCAAGGGTCTCAAGAAGACATATTAATGCTAAAAGAACACACTATTTATTTTCCCCTTTCTTTTCAATATGACCCTCTGTGCAGAATCACCAGTATGTAACTCTACACAAAGGGATAATAACCCTGACAATTTATGGCTACAATGTTGTTAGGTTCTCCACTGACACTCTCCAGAACTGAGTTAATAATACATTTCTCAAGAGGAATCCTGAATTCTAGGGCCCCTGTCTCACAAAGACAAGATTGTGTAATGAAGCCATCTGTGGACTGCAGTACTTTCAGACTGCACAATCTTCTATACAAGATAATTTGCTACTCATAGGGAAAACACATGTCAAGCAGAAGGGGTTCAAGTTTAGCCTTGGGCCTAAAGCGTCAACCATTTTTATATGTATAAGTGTTGTTTTTTCCCATGGGGAACCTCTGGTCCTATGAATCCTCAGCTGTGGTCTGAAGTATGACAATTCACGTTCAGGTTCTGTCACTTCATTTGTTGTTTGTGACAACTCATCTTGGGAGACTCCTGTGTGTATGACACTTCACACGCAAGCTTATCTGCCCTCTCTCTATTATGACAAGCTTCAAAGGCCTCCCAGGCAAGAGCTAACCAATTGCTGATTTGAGTGGCTCCACCGCCTTCCATGAACATCTCATTCTATAGGTTAGACAAAGGATTCCGACAGGAAGCTATGTCCTGGGATTTGCCCATTCAGATACTTACAGATGGATATTCAGTCTTCACTGGAAGCTTGTTCAGATAGTTATAAGAATGGCCCGTCTCGATAGGACACTGGATCCCACACTTGCATCCATCAGGCTGGTCTAGTGGGAAGGGAATGGGCACATGTAGCAGTTCTCCATACACCTTTGCTTTGCTGCCCTGGCTGTTAATCTCTGTGAAAAAGGAAAGCAACCAAAATAAGGACAGCTCTTATTATATTACTGAGGAACAGTAATGGCCTTTCCTATGGTGGCATGCCAAAGAACCATTTCCAGTGCACCAAGTCATTACTGTAGTGCACTAATCCCCTTTGCCAACTCTTGTGCTTTATTCTCTTGACTGCTGTAAAATGTGCATAACCCCCCCCCCAACTCTTTTTTAAGAATCTCCGCCTCTCTCTTCTAAGTTCCTTACACAGAAACACTTCATTCTTCTAGTTTTATCGTGGTCTTTTTGTTTTTTTATCTTCCACTGTTTTGACCCATTTTTATCTACTGTTTTCACGGTTAGTTTCTCATCTGCTACTCTGCGTGTATGTTTTCATATCTTTTCTGCAGTATTGTTTTAATTAGATGTTATAAGCCACATTGCAAATGTTTACATAGAAAGTGCAAAATATGATTTACATTAAAAATAAGTGTAGGAAAACCCTTGAAAACTGCAGATCATTAGCTAGAACAATCTCTTGTGGTTTTGTGGACCCAATGAAAGTGAAAGTGCACAGTGCCATCATGACTCGCTGGCAGGAATACAAACACAAAAGAGACATGCGTGTAGTCACAACATGCACAGTGCCATCCTAAGCAGAGTTATACAAAAGACATGGCATCATGACAAAAGAGACATGCGTGTAGTCACAACACGCACAGTGCCATCCTAAGCAGAGTTATACCTTACTAAGTTGGGCTTAGAAGGGTGAAACCTCTGTTTATGATTGCACTGGTACATATTGCTTCCATAGTGTTCCTACATGGAATGTTCCCAAGCAAGAAACACAGATCAGTCAGCGCCTCCCTGAATCAAATGCTGAACACAAACAGGAAAGACACTTCAGTCCTGTGCACATTTTAGCTTTAAGAGAGCTGGAAGCCAACAGAATATACTTACTACTAGAAAATGTGACATTGACTGTGTAGGACTGCCCTTTCTGAAGGACACAAGGTTCTGAGGGGCAAGGACTCACATTGACCTCGTTGATATTTCCATCTTTGGAACCTGTGAAGAGAACACAAAGAAATAATCACGGTAAGACCTTCTTCGTTTTTGCGCGCGGGATTGTGCCGCGATCGACACCTCTCCCTTCCCACGGGATCTCCACGGTACCTCCACGGTACCTCCAGGGGAGGTCTGGTCGGGTAACGGCGCCTTTGTTTGCCCCGGGGCACACTGCCACGCTTCCCCCCCGCGGTTTCCTGCTCGTGTGACCGGGGCCTAAGTTGGGCTTAGAAGGGTGAAACCTCTGTTTATGATTGCACTGGCACATATTGCTTCCATAGTGTTCCTACACTGAATGTTTCCAAGCAAGAAACACAGATCAGTCAGCGCCTCCCTGAATCAAATGCTGAACACAAACAGGAAAGACACTTCAGTCCTGTGCACATTTTAGCTTTAAGAGAGCTGGAAGCCAACAGAATATACTTACTACTAGAAAATGTGACATTGACTGTGTAGGACTGCCCTTTCTGAAGGACACAAGGTTCTGAGGGGCAAGGACTCACATTGACCTCGTTGATATTTCCATCTTTGGAACCTGTGAAGAGAACACAAAGAAATAATCATGGTAAGACCTTCACCATACATGACAGTTCTAGGCTGCAATAACACTTACTGATCTTCGACGTGGTTTCTGTGCTTCACACCAATGGAATCTAGTGCGCATGCACTGGATCGATCAGTGCTGTTAGCAAGCTCTTTTAATGGATTTTCGCGCCCAGTCCCTCGGGCATGCGCAGGAACCCCACCGCGCATGCCCAGAGGAGTGGGTGCGGACATCCCGCCAGTTCCTTTCTTACCGCCCACAAGCACTGCTCCATGCTCACTCTTCCCTTTTGCCCCAATGGTACGTGTCAATTTCACACAAGCTGCTGCACCGCCACATTTTGCCCCAGAGCTTCGCGTGATTTTCCCCGCATCTACTCAATCCTCAAAAAACAGGACTGAGTAGACACGGGGGAAATCGTGCAAAGCTACAGGGCAAAATGCGGCCGAGCAGAAGCTTGTGTGAAATTGACACATACCATCGGGGCAAAAGGGAAGTGCGAGTGCAGAGCAGTGCTTGTGGGAAATCAGCCTAAAATCCAGTTGGAAAGTACACTGAAACTGGATTGAAAGTGGATTATTTAGTGTGTGTGACCAGCCTTAGACAAGGAAACCAGGAGACAACCAAACAAAACTCTGGAAAATGCAACCTGTACAACTTAGAGAAAGAGTTTTAACCACTGAGACTTACTCAAAAATCCCAGGTAGGAATAACTGACTTGATTAAGGACTGGAAGTAATTTCAGCAATAATTCACTGCATAAACATGAATGCAAAATAAGTTACACATTCAACATTGGGGAGGCACAAATCTTCCATAGAACTAGCCAGAACATCCTCTGGACTACAGCATTTCAACCTTTACAACTTCATCATAGAAATTGTGAAATGAGTGGTGTTCAGGTAGCACCAGGAATTACTTAGTATCAATGACAGTGACTAATGAATTGGCAGGGATCTTATTTTTTAATCCAACTTACAATATCACTTCCATGTTATAACTCCTTAGTGGATGCACAGCTGTTTGGAGCTGTTTGATTACATTCCTGCCAAAGTTTACTTCTAGATATCAATACCTACTTGAAAAACCCCAGACAGTTCCTATGGGAAAATGTGACATGCCTGCCATGGACCGAGTGATTGCTCCATTATTATTTTTTAGTTGAAAAGCAAGCAATTGAATGACGCAGAATCAGCCTGGAATAGCTCAGTGTTGGGAGGATGGAAAAACTTGGAAATATGCTTCCTTGAAATCTGTAGATTTCTGTAGTGATACACTTAGGAGTGGACATAGAGTTTCACAACCAAGTGAATTTGAATAAAAGCCCTCTTTTGTTCCATGAAACCAGCCAGAATCGTACTTCAGTATGATGGAAATGACAAAGGCTATTGTTATATTCCTTTTTCTTAGAAATGCTAAAGAATTAGACAGATAGCAGCTGATTTGCTATCGCTGATAAACCTTGCAATACTATTTATATTTCTCAACACCTAGCCCCCTAAAGGGTTTTAGCATAATTCAGCAAATTACAAGTAAACGGAAAATGAATCAAGATTGAATACCATAAACTGGTTAGGCTGGGGCTTATGAGAGACATGGGAATGCAACTCATTCACAAATTTCCACATTTAAATTTGGTATGAATTGAGATCGATTTTGTTCCTACCCTCACCAGGGAAATTATTATTCCTATGCAGTTTCTAGATCATGCTTCTTGTATCTTCTATCAGTTTACTGATCTTCCTTTTTTTTTTCAATGGCTGTTTCCTTGTTTTGGTCAGCTTTCTGAATAAGTATCTCCTATAGGGAAAAGGGCCTTAAATTAGGCAATCCAAATACAGATCACATTGTTAAGACTTAAGTGAGCTGTATAGTGTGCAAACAAAACCATTTTGCATGAGAGATGGGGGGGGTAGAGTTTGTAAGGCATACTTATATTTATGGATTTGAATGTTTCCACTAAAACTATGTCACAAAACCAGCCCCCAAAACTGCTGTGTAGTGGTGAAGAGTGTCAGACTAGTATCTGGGAGACCAGGGTATGAATCCTCACTTGTGCCATGGAAGCTCATGGGCCTGTCACACTTTCTCAGCCTAACCTACCTCACAGGGTTGTTGTGAAGATAAAAAGAAGACGAGGAGAATGCTGTAAGCCACTTTGGTTTGCGAGGAGAATGCTGTAAGCCCCACTGGGGAGAAAGATGGGGTACAAATGAATTGAATTATTAATTGTTCATATGTGAATATTATTATTTTAAACAGCTTAAGAGCTGGATAAATGCATTTGGGGTAAACTTTTGGGGTTTTCCCCCTGGGAAAACCTGACAGAGCCAGCACATCTGCCACATCTGCATGCTTATTTGCAGTGCTAAACACCTTCAAGTGTGAAGGGGAGAAACCAATCAAAAACCATTGGGAACAAATGGCAGCCATGTGCTGTGCAGCTCCAACTGCCTTGGGGCTCCTGGCAATATCTGCTATGTGCCCTCGACTGTTTATTAGTTATTAGCAAAACCCCATCATTATGGCAAGTGAAGGAGGATAGGCAGAATGATGTCTTACATATTTCAAGAACCACTCGGAGGTACAACCCTCCTACAGTGAGGGCTGGGTCATGCTAGGATGAAGAGCAGATTTTGACCTCAGCACTGAGTTGTTCAGAAGTACAGTTCTCTTCTTTTCACTGTGAATGCCAAACAGTAATTCACATATGACAAAAAATAAAAAGAGTGCATCAGTGGTCAGACCTTCGACAACATAATGGCCAGACCTGTTCCTGGTGATTCCAGCAATTAGAACGGTGTGCTTCCATGTGCACAGTCCAATTCTGGGTTCTCTTTCTTGGTCACATCATGTGAAATGGAGCTCTGAGGGCAGGTTTTCATACAGAGCTAGATTCATGTAGCACCCCCACACCACTATATGTGGCATTTTATAGCAGAACCGAAAGAAGGGGGGAGGGGAAGACAAGGCCTTCTCAAGAAACTAACACTCATAACACAGTGAAGAATAACAGGATGCATGTCAACAAATTCCTCTTCCCCTTATAGTGTGCAATGTTTAGCACGAAAAAAAAAAGACTATTGATCTACAAATGAAAATGTAGAAACTGCAGATACATAGGGTTGCCAGGTCTGGGTTGGAAAATACCTGGAGACTTTGGAGGTGGATCCAGGAGAGGGCAGGGTTTGGGGAGGGGAAGGGCCTCAGCATAATACCATACAGTCCACCCTTCAAAGCAGCCCTTTTCTCCAGGGTAGCTGATCTCTGTCAGCTGGAGATCAGTTATAAAAGTGGGAGATCCCCAGGCCCCACCTGGAGGCTGGCAACCCTACAAATGCAATTGCTTTGCGAAGTGTGAATCAGCTCTCTAAGCTGCATAAAGTGGTTTCTACTCTCACATGACTAGTGATGCGTTGAGCATTCAACTGTGTCTCAGAAACCTTTTACCAGGTACATACACAAGCTTTGGAAGGAAGTTGTGGCCTCATGAAATTGCTCCATTTGTGTTTAAAACTGTTAACTAATTAATAATCCTATTTATCCATGAGCAGAGCAAAACAGGAGAGCTTAATTCCAAACATGCCTATGCCTGTTTACTTAGAAGTAAGCCATAGTTCAGTGGGATTCATTCCCTTGTAAGTGCACTTCAAACAAACTGCAGCCTTCGTTTCAAAACTGCTCTTGCACTGAAAGAATAAGGAAGTGGATAGTTAGCACAAAGGCTGCTTGCGAAATTGTAACACCCTGCATACACAAGCCCCTGGATGAGGACAAATGACACAGTCTGTTATGACTCAATGTGCTTTAAATAACGGGGAGCATTTCTAAGACCCACGGCTTATGCATATATATGCATAGTACCAAAGAAATAGCATTTCCAGAAAACATCTCACAGCTAACAGGACTAGTACAATGGTTGCCAATAAATACTCTCTGCATTCCAGCATGTCAATTTGCATCCATTCAAGTGAGCCCAAACTCTATAGGTAGCCTCATTCTGACTCCTCCCTTGTTGTTCTGGCATACAGAGGTACTTTAAAAATGTCCAGCATCACCTTAAAGACAAACAATATTTATTTCAATATGAGATTTAGTGTTGCCGTTGCAGCTGAGTGCAATAAATTACATTCAGCCAATTAAGTTGCCATTCTGCATAAAGGAAGTAACAACATAGTTCTGCCACATACTTAAAAAAATAATAATCTCTGCTCATCTACTACACTGACTGATGGACACAAACTTGCAGAGGACAAGGGAATCTGTTCCCATTAGGCTGGGGCACCTAATTTTGAAAAGCAAAAAAAGAGGACATATTTCACAACTGACTACTTCAAACAAGTGATCACTACAACAAATCTCATTTTAAATACCCTTACTATTTATGCTGTGATAATTGCTACTAACTAGGAATATTCCTAACCTTTCAACCCAAAAAGAGGACATTTTCATCTGTTTTTTTTAAATAGAGCAACAAAGAGGTAACAAAAAAAAATAGGTAACCCAACATTCAGGGCTGTATTATTCATAAGGCTGACTAGGCTGAAGCCTAGGGGCCCATCAATATATTTTTTTTTGGCTGAGATATTATTTGCTCTTCATAGACAGCCTGTAATATATAACCTCTATTAATAAGATAATTAACTGCTTCCTTATTGCAGTGAAACAAATTCTCTCTTATATTAAAACAATTATCCATAAATTATATATTTTAATAAATAATAAAAAATTTATTCATTTCAAAATATTGCAGGATTGAACAATTCTATCCCCAAACTGTGCTTTTCTGAAGAGTTCTGCTTGCGTAATAAA